ATACACATGTTACACATGTACACCCATACATACAGCTACATAGTATATATATACTATAAGGTGACTTCTGCAGAAACAATAGCTTTTCCAAAGCCATTATTACTCAATCAAGATAGAGACATATCTACTTCCTAAGTCTATGACTATTATAGGAAACACTGTAGCATATCAACTAAGCTAAAATTTTTCAGAGAAATAATCACATTGTATTGATACTAGAATATAATTTTAGTTCTGCCATAGACTATTGTTTGTTTTTTCCATATTAGTAGCAAATACTTAGATTTTACATAATATTTTACATAATGAGTCTATTTCAGACACACACACACATATATCTACCTGTCTGTCTGTATGCATGGATGTTATTTCTTCTCCTTTCAAACTCTCTAATGAATTCCAAAACAGGTCAGATACTTGGCAACTAGATTCTTCATTTCAACATGTTTATTAAATACAGAAGCTATATTATTGATTTTTTCATCTATTGTATACAAGATGTTAGATGACTGACTGAGCAATCTAACATTTAAAAAAAATAATTTTGATCAGTTACTACTACTAATAATAAAAATCGAATAATTACTTTTGAATTATGGGCAAGAAGCTCCTTTCTCAGGTATATCCGAAAGATTATTATAGCTAATTCAATAAGACAATGAAAGAAATAAAAGAAGTATCTTGGAAAAGGACAGATAAAACTAACTTTATCCACAGATGCCACGACTAAGTATGTAGAAAATGCCAAAGAATCTATAACAATTTTATGTTACTATCAAGTGAATATAGTAAGATCACAGGATCTTATTATGCATGAATATACAAAATTTGTTTATTTTTCTAAATACCTAAAATGAACAATTACAATTTAAAATCTAAAATAATTTAACTGATTACTCTCAGTAAAAGTAATACAGACATTGAAAGAGTTTGGACAATAACATACTATGAGAGAATCTATATGCTTAAAAAAAATGATGGAGACATTAAAAATGTAATTCAATTGAATGGAAAGTTCTTTCCTGTTAATATGTTTGAAGATTCAACATTTTTAATGTCAATGCCCCCGAGTTTTATTGATAGTTATAACACCAATTGAAACTGCATCAAACTACTTTTAAAATATTGGCAAAGTAATTATAAATATTATATATTAAGGAAAAAGACTTGGAATAAATAATATTTTGTCAAGTTTGGATCTGTAGAGTGTTAACTTCCACGAAGCAAGATTTTTTCTCTTACAATTCAAGCCAAAAAAATATAACCATGATAGGAATTCATAGGAGAAAATTCACATTACAATCATCTAAGAATACAATCATCACATACAGCACTGGCCAGCGAGGGTCCCACACGTCACGGCAGACCTCTCCTGTCTCGCCCGCGCTCCCCTCAGCAGTGTATTTCGTCAGTCTACCTGTTCTGATCCCTGCTCTGTCTCTGGTGAATCCTCACAACCTCTCGCAAATCAGGCCTGTACCCCAGTTCTTGTATAAATAAATAAATAAATCTTTAAATAAAAACAAAACACAAATATGGAGAGTTCCCGGCAGTCATTGCTCTGCTGGGAGTAGATGACCACTTCTCAGACAACTCCCCAGTAGCTTTCACCAAAACATGGGTAGGGCTACAGGACTTAGAGTACCTTAAATGTGCTTATACTTACACCACTTTTCAGAGAAAGATTATCAAAACCACCTGAATTTTTAATTTAGGAGATCTCTCTCAGCACAGTTAGAGTTTTGTTTGTCTTTGCCTTTTATGTGAGTTTATCATTGTTTTTATAAACAAGTGTTTGCTTTTAAATTGATAACTTAAGTTGTTTTATCTCAATTTTTCCGCCTTGTGATTAGTCAGGGTCATTACAATGCCAACACACAAAATATTTCTATCAACCAGGATCAATACAATATCAATGCATATGACACCAAGACAATGCTTGATTAGGTGAACAAAGTTGGAGAGCCCACAATATTTTATTTCAATAATCCTCATGAAGTTTTGTAATAAAGGCAGTGTGGCTCTATCAAAATAATGACCACAAAGATTGATGCAACATAATGGACTCTAGAAAAAAAGAATCACAGAGTCAACTGAATTTTTATAAGGGTATATGGAGATTATCACAAGGGTATATGGAGATTATCAAGTTAATAAAATGGTATTAGTACTCCCTGGTAGTAGTCTCAGTGCTATCATATTTTCACCACCGCAGCCTGAGTTTAAGCCCTGGTCAGGGAGCTAACTCACATGGCACAGCAGTCCTCTTCTGTCTTGCCTGCTGCTCCCCTAAGCAATGTATTTCAGTAGATCTGCCTGTTTTACTCCCCACTCTGTTTTTGGAGAATACTCTCATGACCCCCACACCTCTGGCCTACACCTCAATTCTTGAATGCATAAATAAATAAAAATAAATCTTTGAAGAAAAATAAATAAAATGATGCTGTATATTGTAAGTCAATATAAAAAAAAAAGACCTTAAATATAGTCTTTACACCTTAAAACCAACTCAAAATATACCATAGAGACATACATATAAATGCCAAACCAGAAATTCTACATGATATTGGCAACACAACAGCAAAAGCAAAGGAATTCTATGCTTCAAGTTTCATCATTTAAAAGAATGATAAATTGGACTATATCAGATTTAAGTTGTTACATGAAATAAATGTTAAAGGAATGGAAAGATAAACCACAACTGGGACAAGATATATGTAAAATACATGTTTCATAAAATATATTGTGATGTTTATGTCAATTTTACTAAAAATGGTACGTCCACACCCAATACTGTTTCTGAGTGTCTCTGTAAGGTATTTCCAGATGATATCAGTATTTGAAAAGGTGGGCTCAGTAAAGTAGAATCCCTTCCCCATTGTAGACATCATTTAATCCACTGAGACCTTGAAAAGAACAAAAAACAGAGGAAGAAGGAATTCATCCCTTTTTGCCTGCCTCAATGATTGAGCTAGGACTTATTATACCATTGTCTAATGACCTCTAATCTGATTATATTTAAATATCTTAGTGATTATATTAAAAAGAACAATGGTAGTCCATGATCAAACTGTTTGTTCAGGTTTGCAAAATATCAAAACTGGATCTTTGTAATCAATGACCTAAAATCAAAGAACTAGGTGACTCTATTGATACTTTCAAACATTTTGTAAGCTAATGAATATTGCAGCATTGTTTGATTAATTTAATGCTGCTGGACAAAGTTGGGAAAAAAGCAGGTGATATTCAGGGATTCAAATTCCTAACTCAAGCAACAAATAAATGACCTAGTAGCTTCCATGTGTGCCGTGAAGGGAATCTTATCCCCCTGTAGTTATAGGACTGAGCTTGCTGGAAGTCAAATGCAGAAACTCATCTTGCCAAATAATAGTCTATGCCTCCACAGATGTCCTTCAATAGTTGAATGAGTTTTTTTAAAAAAGTAAATAAAACCAAGTAGTGGTGTATACATGCAATGCAGTATTAATCAGTAATTAAAAAAATAACTTATCAAGCTATGCAAGGATATGGGTGAATCATATATGTGCACTGCTAAATTGAAAAAAAAAAGTCTGAAAGACTGCCTGGTATATGAATCAATTTATATGACATTCTGGCAAAGGTCGAAAATGACTGATAAAGTAAACCAGTGGTTGCTAGGAATTAGAGAGACTATATTGAGATATATTGAGTAGGTGAAGCAAGGAATGATTTTATTTTTAGAACAGTGAAACAATAAGGTACAGTAATTGGGTATGCATAGCCCTGTGCAATGGTCAAACTGTAGAATTTTAAAGAACTAAAACGAACCTTAATGTGTATTATAAAAATGAGGAAGTAAGAAGATCCCAGAATGGAATACAGAATGTGACCCCCCAAAAAAAAATCTAATTACCTAATAAATTTAAGAAACAATCTCACCAAATGGGGTAAAATAAAAAGAGCTGACCTAATGAACTTAGGAATTAAACAGACTATAAAAGACTAAAGGTAAAAAGAACTTACATCAGTATAACAATCTGCTTGAGAAAGATATTTGCTGTGGTGGTATGTGTGAACAATTCTGAAACCATATGGGTCACAGTGGATTTAAACAATTAAGTAAATGCAAATGTGTTGGGAAGATGGAAACTAGATTTTCTCATTGTTAGAGTGAATGACCACAGATAAGACACTGGACCTATTTGTAATGTATTAGAAAAAGAGAAATATATATGAATTCATGTTTAACTTAAGGATGACACAAAGGGTTACATATACAGGCATTTATAGATATGGATTATACCTGCATTGGTAAACCCATATTTTCTTACTCCACTAGCCGATGGGTCTAAAATCAATGATATCCTAGTAGCAAAAAGCAACACTAGAGCCAACAACTTACTTTCTAGTACTGCTCTCTAGTAAGAGAAATCAGGGCACATTAGAAAAAATCAGACTAACCCCAACTAAAGGGCATTCTATGAAATACCTGGTCAATGACCCATCAAAAACAGATCATCAAAAGCAAGGCAAGTGTGAGAAATTTTCAAAATAAATTAGAGCCTAAGGAAATATGATAATAAAATGTAAACTGGCATCCTGAACAGAAAAAATTAAATTCTAGAAAAATAAGAAATTCTCAATAAACTGCCACCTTTTACTAATAACAGTGTATCAATATTGAGTCATTATTTGTCACAAATATACCATACCAAGGTAAGATGTTAATAATAGAGGAAGCTGTGTATTGTGTCTATGAATGTTCTTGCTAATTGATTCTTGATTTCTCTGTGCATATAGAACTTTGAAATACAAAAGTTTTTAATAAACAAAAAATCACAAAATTTTCAGTGAAGGAAAATCTTGTACAAATATTATAAAATTTTGATGTGTAAAATATCCTATATTTCATAATTGGCAATGTTAATTATAATCTAGATAATTTATATGATGAGTCACATCTCTATTTTTGTGGCTATCTTTTGGTACTCTTTCCCATCTTGCAAGATGTACTCTTTCCCATCTTGCAAGATGGCGGGCGAAAAGGGTGAGAAGGCGCCTCCTAAAAAGAAGAAACCTGCAGCCAAGAAAGCTGATGCTGGTGGCAAGGTTAAGAAGGCCAAGGGCAAGGGCAAAACCCCTAAGAAGGGGAAGCCCCACTGCAGCCGAAACCCTGTCCTAGTGAGAGGAATTGGCAGATATTCCCGATCTGCTATGTATTCCAGAAAGGCCATGTACAAGAGGAAGTACTCAGCAGCTAAATCTAGGATTGAAAAGAAAAAAGAAGGAGAAGGTTCTGGCTACAGTCACAAAACCAGTTGGTGGTGACAAGAATGGCGGTACCCGAGTAGTTAAACTTCGCAAAATGCCTAGATACTATCCTACTGAAGATGTGCCCCGAAAGCTGTTGAGCCATGACAAAAAACCATTCAGTCAGCATGTCAGGAAACTGCGAGCTAGCATCACTCCCGAGACCATTCTAATCATCCTAACAGGGCGTCACAGAGGCAAGAGGGTGGTTTTCTTGAAGCAGCTGGGCAGTGGCTTGCTACTTGTGACTGGACCTCTGTCCTTCAATCGAGTTCCTCTGCGTAGGACACACCAGAAATTTGTCATTGCCACCTCTACCAAAATTGACATCAGTGGTGTGAAGATCCCCAAACATCTCACTGATGCTTACTTCAAGAAGAAGAAGCTGCATAAGCCCCGACACCAGGAAGGTGAGATCTTCGACACAGAGAAGAAGAAATACGAGATTACAGAGCAGCACAAGGTGGATCAAAAAGCTGTAGACTCGCAAATTCTGCCAAAAATCAAAGCTGTTCCCCAGCTCCAGGGCTACCTCCGCTCTGTGTTTGCTCTCACCAATGGAATTTATCCTCACAAGTTGGTGTTCTAAGTTTCCTGCAAAGAATCTAATTAAATAATGATAATTTAAAAAAAAATATTTTCATGTAATGTTTCCATACTTGCTTTATTTTTTAAGTACAAAAAATAAGCATTGGCAATGTTAGCATTTTAGGTATACGTTATGTTTAGTAACTAGTGTTTTTTACTTTGTTCATAATGAATTTAAAGATCTAAAAAAAAATTAGCTGAATATATTTACAATGAAGATACAAGTTCAGGCAAGGGTGGAAAAAATGTTATTATCGCCAGTCTCCTGACTTCACAAGTAAATTGCTAGCAGTAGAAAACCACATAATTTATTTTCTGTTTATTTTAAGGCCTCCCATTTCACATTGTTAATAACCTCAATAGGTCATTTAAGATTGTTGTTTAGTTGAATAAACTGTGTCTTTACCACTGAGTCAAAAAGTAATACTAAATAATTATCTAATAAGAATAATATTTTAAGGATATAACATCATATGTCATACATTCAGACAAGTTGATTGTACAGAGTTATAGTCAACTCGAACTTTTGGAAAATACCTTAAGATTTACATAAAACTTATAAGAAGTTAAAAGTGACCATAGGGTATTATTCCTAATTTTATAATTTAGAGGCAGAATCTCATGTTTTCTTGGTTTTAGAAAAATAATTTAAACTTCATTTAGATTCATATAGTTTCCTCATTTTCTTCCCCCCCCCACCCTCTTTTCTTCCTTCTAGTTCATTTCATGGACTCTTTGACATGATCAAGATGGTATAGTATTTTTTTTTAATTTTGTATATTTTTACATCATTTTTCATTTTTGCACAATGTATGCATTTTCATCTTGGTTATAATTCCCATACAATTCCCACCCCTCCTTCTTTTGATCCTACTCCCTCCCCTCCCCCACCCCCCCAGTGTGTTTCTGGATTATAGTTGCTTGTTGATTTTGATGTTTACTTTATAAGACTAATTATATAGTATACATTTTTATTAAGAAATTTACAAGAACTTGGGCCTCCCTGGTGGCACAAGGGGTTAAGACACAACCTATGAACTAATTCACAGCCACTGCAGCACAAGTTCGATCCCCAGCCAGAGAGATACCCACATGATGCAGCAGACCTCTCCTGACTCACCCGCTGCTTCCCTCAGCAGTATATTTCAATCTGCCTGTTCTGTTCCCCACTCTGTCTCTGGTGAATCCTTTCACCACCCCACACCTCTGGTCTGTACCCCAGTTCTTGTGTGCATAAATAAATAAATGTTTAAAAAAAGAAAAAGAAATTTACGATAACTCATGAGAAGAGATGAAGCAACCTTTGGGGAAAAGCACAGTCCAACTGAGGAAGGCCACAGTGACAAAGGGGGAGTCCCACTGAGTGACATTTTCCCTATACTGAGTATTGCTTGGAAATTTAAAAGAAAAAAATAACAGCTAATTTGATTTCTCATTTTGGTGACTTTATTAACCTGATTGTCAATTGTGCATGAACAAATTTGTGTGTTATAAATACAAAATGTAACTGAAGACTGCACTGTTTTGCAGCAAATTCCCATTGTATGCCAGATAGGACTTCAAAGTCACCACCTCCTTCCTGGAAAGGAGTATAATCCTTCCTTTTTCTTTCTCATTCATAGTCCTCACCCTCTTTCTCAGAGTAGAAGGATAATACATAGTTTAATAGACAGGCAATTCTTAATTTTCTTGAAAGGCTATCAAAAACCAAAAACAAACAAACGAATGAAAAACCAAAACTGCACAGTCTAGGCATGGCAGAAGTTAAGAATGACTTTATTGTGTGGTTTCCTCAAAGACTGACCCCCAGGAACTGGAACTTTTCAATTTTGTGGGCAATACCTCTACTTCTCCTGAAACTCATTCTTTAAGAACTCTTTTATCGCTGAGGTTCTTTCTATGTGAATTCTAACTTGTAGAATTCACATATAGTAATTGGGATTCAAGCCTTTTATAATACTGGAAAAATGAAGAAGTTATTTTACAGATATAATTTGTCAACTGCTAATGCACAGGTCATTACATGCTATCTAAGGAAGTAGCCTTCATGTACTCCAATTATTAGAGCACATAGCACATAATCTAAGATATTCTGTTGAATCCTGTCACACTATATTTAGAGTTAAAAATTACATACTTTCATCTCTAGCCCCTGTTTTTATTTTGGAAAAGCTACATGGGCTTCTCTCTAATGAAATCCAATCTGGAATTTTTCTGTTTTTATTTTTCCATTGTCTCAACATTTCTTGGCTTTTATTCTGTTCATGCTCCAGTTGAAACTGAAGCAGGAAGAGTTCCATTTTAGCATATTATGGTGTTCTGCTTCTGCAGTGGAACTATTGTTTGACATTTTAATCTTCTTTTGCATTAAACTCTCACTCCTAGAAATAAAGACATAGAAAGATAAAAAAAGAAAAAGTTGTATCTTGATTACTTAGTTTTTGTAATTCAAATATCACAAATAAATCTCAATTTTAATGTCAGTTAAATTAGAGTATAAACCTCTATTTATAACTGGTGTGCAAGACTGTGGAAGGCTCCACTTAATAAACACTATACATTTTTTACTGAATATTTACAAGACCAATATGATGCATTATAAATAATGCAACTATAGAAAGAAAAAATCCACAAAATCCCATAAAGTTTCTTAAAGGGTCTCCAATAGATTGAATGGAGTTCTCCCAAAAGTATGCCTTTATCATAATCTCCAGGAACATCTGATTTTATTATATAATAAAGTCATATATGAAAAATACATCTATTGGAAGATGTGATTAAAGCTCTTGAGATGAGATTTTCTTGGATTATCAGCCTATCAGTAGAGTCAATGACAATAGTTTTTACAAAAGAGACACAAAGATGAGATATGGGGAGAAGAAAAGATGATCATATTAAGGTGGAAGCACAATTAGAGTAAAGGGTCGCAAAGTGTGCACCAGCCACAGAGACTACACAGAAGAGGCAAGACAGTAATCTCTTCTTTGGCATGGAGAGGGAGAGTAGCTTTGCCAGTATCTGAATTTGGAGTTGCACTTGCCAGAATTATGAGAGAATAAATTTCTGTTGGTTTATGCCACCCTGTTTGTAATTAATTGTTATGGCAGTCACAAGAAAATAATACATGTAACTTTTAGGAAACTGATTAGGTGAATTTAAGGTATTTATTTAAAAAAAAATACCCATGTATGTCCTAAACACTGTTACCTTTCTTTTTTTTTTTTAAGATTGATTTATTTATGCATACAAGAACTGAGGTACAGACAAGAGGTGCGGGGGGGTGAGAGGTTTCATTAGAGAAAAAGTGGGGCACAGAACAGGCAGACTGACTGAGAATACACTGCTGAGGGGAGCAGTGGGTGAGTCAGGAGAGGTATGCTGCACCATGTGGATCAGGTCCCTGGCTGGGAATTGAACTCATGCTGCAGTGGCTGTGGTCAGCTACATAGGTTATGTCTTAACCCCTTGAGCCACCAGGGAGGCCCTGTTAGTTTTATTTCTAATTAATTGAACAACCCAGGGGAACGGTCAAGGGCAGGAAGCAGCTCTCTCTGCAGACTTTGTTCCTATCATTTGTTGCTCTGCTCTTGGGTTTCTCTATGTTATGCATGCATTCAGGAGAAGAGTGGGGGAGATTGTAGAGAAGTAAAGAAAACTTTGAAAGTAACACACACTTCTACTGTTCCCATTTTATAAGGCAGAACTTGGTTATAATGTCAACTATAAAGGCTTGAGAGGCTAAAGAATGTTTGCCTATTATGCCTGGGGCAGTCATTTTATCAAATGGATGGATAAAAATGTTTTGGTGAAATGTTAGCAGAATTCAAAAAACTTAGTGTTTGCCAAACTATAATTTGCCAAAATTAAATTCAAATTAGTATGTTCAAGTCAATAATGACAGCTACAAAATTTAAAGTGTGGATACCAATATGAAACTTCATCTTCCTTTCATATGAAGCTCTGTAATTTCCAGAATGTGCACAAGCTTCATGGTTGACATAATTTTTCTAAGGCAAAATAATTATAATAAAGTAATTGTGTTAGCAGTAATTCACACATTCTACTTGGAGATTGAAAAGTATAAATCCAATTAGCAAATTTTCAATTGAAAGGTGTTAGAAGTGTTGAATAGTTGGTCATTTCTTGAACCAAATTGCTTTTTTAGACTTAATCATTACTTAGTGTGTTATAAGGGCATTGAACAGTTAGAATATGTCAACATACTTTTATTAATTCATTTAAAAAGGCAACTTTTATAGTTATACCTTAAATAATTATGAAATGATGTAGACCAGGGATACATGAATTATTGCAAAACCTCTTGATTTGTTAGTAACAACAAAATCTACTTGTTAAAAAAAAAAAGGCATTGACTTCTATCACACAAATGATAAATACGAGACTGGCTTTTCACCCAAGTAGGTAATTAAATTTCTTGATATAGTCATTTTGAAGATCATGTTCAGATTCTTCTACAAAAAATTATACACACTAAATTTTAAGAACCCAGTGAATTACTTATTTAGTTAAATAGTTATTGTACATGTTTTGGGATCATCAAACTTTATTTAAATTCCTAATTTCTAATTTTAAATAAGACAATGAATATTATTAGAGTAACTAGTGACACAGAAAGGCAATTCACAAAAGATATGATGTTTAATTTTATGTATCAACATGGCTAGATCAAAGACTAATCCGGATAATTCTGTGATGGTCGTTTTATATATGCTTATGATTTAAAATCAGTTAATTAAGTACACTCAAAAATAGGAATGGGTTCCCTACAATCATTTGAAGGCAATAGGAGCAAATACAAATTCCTAAAAAGAAATTGTGTTCAGTAGTGTAACATTAACTTTTTCAGCATTTTCTAGTTTGACTACCCTATAGAGTTTAGACTTGTTAACACACTAAATCACATAAACCAATTTGTAGTAATAAATTTCTTCATAGTTTACATTAAAATGTTGAATTAATTTATTACCTATTGAGTCTGTCTTTTTTCCTGGAGAAAATTGTTTCAGG